TGTTTGCTCTAGGTGAGTCATCTCAATCCTTCCTTCTCCTGTCCCTTCGCTACTGTCTGTTGTGTGTCCATTTCTCCACCTTAGCCACTGACAATGCTCAGATGCATTTGTCCCCTGGTTTCATCACATCCAACACGTGTCTGAGTTATCTTTTTCTGCAGGAGAGCAATTGAGAGCTGCGCTGAAGGAAGGTAAGGAGACTTTCTAAAACCCTATCCTATTACAAGTCCTTCCTTGGCTCCACATGAATCAGAGCAGGAGATTCTGCCTTTCTAGCTGCACACTGACTGACAGTCCCCATGTTCACCTCTTTTCCAAAAGGCAGGATAAGGGACAGGGATGTACTAAAGAGGATCCAGTCCTTGCTCTGCGGCCACAAGGCAGGTTGCTTTTTGCATGAATTAATGCGTGCTAGGTCCTTCCTCTGCCTCTGGAATATACATGAGTTTATTTAAGTCTTTCCCCGACACCTGCAGAGTGGACATATCTATAATGAAATGAGATGCAAAGAGAACGAAGTAAAGTTGATTTTTTTTTCCTGACATTTAAGTACAACATATGGCAAGTTTTACTGAGGAATTAATTGTGTACTTTTTGTATTAACAGACACTGTGACACAGGCAGTTGTAATATTCTAGGTTGGTCAATACTTTAGAAAGGTCACGCTTATCTGGTTTTAGCCAGAGTACACAGTAGATCATGGATTTTGTTGTAATTTTCTCCCGTAGTTTTCAAAGCTTTCACCATTCTGCCAGGACCAAAACAATGATTTTTGAGAGTGAGAGAAAAAGGAGAATTTTACCAAGCCTTGAGCTCATGCTCCGGGCCCACTATAGTTCATATAACGTAAAAAAAAAAATCTAAAAAATACAATTTTTCGTTTGGATTATTTTCTGCATTACAATAGAAGCAGTGAAGCATAATTTGGGAAAGGAACTGTTTCAGAGCTGTGTCTGATCTGGAGGCTGGTAGTCCATGTTCCTTTTTAAACCAGTCAGGCTGCATTCCAGTTTGTCTGAATGAGCCCCCTGCGAGGATAATATCCTTGAAACTTAATCGAAAAATCTGTATCTAGAAAGGAAGCCTAAGGATAAGAATGAGCTTACTGCAGTTCCTCTTGACTTCTAAGGGTTTTCTTCTCATTTTGAAAAAAGTGTTCTTGCACCAGCATCATCTCTTTTCCCCTCTCAGTCCCCAAAAATTGTCTTGCCCCTGTGAACGTCGTCAAACCTTCCCTCATAAAATAGATATCTTGCCAACAACACCTCCCAGGTCTGGTGGAGGTTTGCTCCATACTCACAGCTTACTACAGAGACCAGCTTTGTGCTTTTCAGATGTAGAACAAAGGGCACAAATAGGTCCCGCCTGGTGGTTGTACCACTAATAAATAACTATGATTAATAACCGAGACAGCAAAAACACCCAATGGAGAGACCAAGTCAGCATCCCAAGAGACAGTGTAGAGTTCACAGCTGGACAGAGGTCCTCAGTGGTTGACAATGTCTGATTCTGCCCACTAGGAACAAGCACGTGGCCAGATTCTAAGAGCTCCCGAAGATTCACAGTTCTCAGGCAAGTCACTGCACACTGGGAGTCCTCAGCATCTTTTGAAACTCCATTTGCTGGTGTGAGGACTTTAGCTGGGTGTCAAAATGGGGCTTGGCGCTTAGATTTTTGGCAGCCCACGTTCAAAATGGTGGTCTTCATAAATGCAGTGGTGAAAAAAAGACACCAAATGAGAGCCTTGTGGGAGCCCCTTATTTTTTCTAAAACTTTCTTGGCGTCACATTTAATAACTTTAGCTTCAAGAGAAGTTGTTTCAAATGAGAGAAAAATGGATTTGTTAGTATAAACTAGAGTCCTGGGCACTTTGGGGAAAATGTAACCATTTCATGTTAATGACGGAGCTGGAGCAGAGCTCGTTTATGTAAATCTAGAGCCACATACGGGTGCAATAACATGCAATAGTCTCTGCAGCAGCAATTTCTAGATGCGATGGCAGAAGCAAATAGCTGTGACGTTACTTGCTTGGCAACTTGAAAGTCTGCCAATTTGATACCATTTTGTATGTGTATATTACCACTTCTGCTGATACTCAGTTTTGTCTATAGGTGGCAGTGACCTTTCATTTTTTCTTTAAAATAGGGAAGAAGCATACATACATATATATCTTCCTAATTTTACTAAAAGAACTGGGCCAGGATTGTGAGGCTGTGCCGCTGACTGAGCTCTGTACCCAGAGGAACGGCCGCAGACTTGTCATCTTTCTTCAGTAGCCACTTTGCCCCGGAGCATGCTAAATGTGTAGTCGTAATACTGCTCATACAATGCAAAAATCAGTGCAATACAATAATCTATTACTGTTGCAAGGAGGGAAAAAGTCCAAAGACATATTGTGTATGTGCATTGTGGAGAACTGCATTTGGTGTTTTGGGATCATATTCCTGAGGGGGTTATGTAGCAAGTTTGTCCCATTTTTAGCAAAAATAGCCTCCAAGTCTTGCCCAGCTTTCTATGAAAGAGAGGGTTCTGGTGAGTGAAAATCTTTAAAAATTCCACATGACCACTGTGTGTGTTTTATTTCCGTGAGAATTATAAACTTGACTGTAAAAAATGGGTAATCTCTCCTAGAGTAAAATATGCCAGAGATCGGAGCCTGTGATCTCTGCTCTGTATCAGATAAAGATAACTTTCTTGACGTGAGTAGAGCTGCATCAACAGGAAACTGGAGTAATTGAGAATCAAGCTACAAATCATTGTTAAAATTAAAAAAAAAAAAAAGGAATTTGCTTCTTTCACTCCCCTCAGATATGTACTGATTTTATAGCACATGTGAAAAAGGAAGCACGTAACCTGCAAATATTCCATCTTCTGCTTAAGTTGTCTCCTGGCATAAACCAGGCGGCCCTGTGAATGGAAAACAAAAGTAAATCCTCCAGATTCAACCAGATACTAAATTATTTGCCTCTTGTTTTCTTCTCTTCCGCTCGGATAATACTTAAAGTTGCTAGGAAACAGAATTACATAGCAAGGACAAGAGGCCATTGTACATCCATGGGGAAACGTTGGCTGTTTTCCACCATAAATCAGAAGTTCTGATTTATAGTGGAAATATCAGCTGAGAAGATAAAATCCCGGTAAAATGACTCTGCACTCTGAAATCAAGGCTCAGTCCTACAGCCACTATTTATGCAGCGATTCGCAGCAGCGCACGACTGCAGTTCATGTTTCAGTGTCAGTGGGGGCCATTCAGTGTCCAGCGCGGCGCTAGGCACTTAGCAGAGAACAATAACCATCTCTGGAGAGAGGCCCAGCTTGGATTTCACATCAGCTAGGGTGCAGCATAAAATAGAAACCAGATCTGGACCATCCCTATAAAGCAAAGGTTTGTAGATTGGGGTTAGCAAAAAACCACAACCAGCTAGAGCTCTGTAAACAGTAACTGGAAGCAGACGCCTGGGGCTGTGGGCTGAAAGAAGAGCTGCCCCCAGTTCTCGCATTCAAATTCTAGTGATTTAGCAAGACTACTCTTTTCCTTCTTTTCTCCAATATCCAGGGGCTGTTTAAATAAAACACTAAAGAAGTTGTTCTCATCCATACCTCTGCAGCTTCACTGATTCATACAGGCATAAGCCAGAGCAATAATAAAACAGAAGAAGAGCACTTGATACCCATGGTGGCTGCGCAGGACATCCAACAGGATAAGCACTGAGGCTGGAGCTGGCTCCAGCCCTCTGCCTTCCTCTCTTTGGATACCTTCCTCTTTCAAGGTGTGGCTCAGAATAGTTTCTCCTTATTGTTTATTTGTGTAGCTTTAACAGTATATATACATATATATCCTGAGCCAAAGTCAATAGGAACCTTTCTCTTAACTTCAATCTGGTTTGCCCTTCAACCATGTTGCAGGGAGTGTGTTTGGCCCCAAAGAATTTACAGTCCTAAAGCATAGGGAGCTCAGAGGGTACATAAATGTATTTTCAATGAAGGGGAAAAGAAAAGAAAAAAAAACAAAACAAAAAAACCCAACAGGTTTATGTGCACTTGTACATAGGAAAGAGGCTAAAATAGAATCAAACACATTGCTCCTGAAACAAAGTTTAAAGAAATCAGAACAGTTTCAGTAAGTCTTGAATGGACTAATAGTAATTAACTAGCTAAGATTATGCCTGGATTGTAGTCACAGCTGTGACCCCAGTAGGTATGAACATAAGAAAGCCATTTTAAACTGGCTAACTTGGGTATCAGTAGTGCCACACCTGTGGCAACACAAGATGCTTGAAAAATGCATCCAGGACCGCAGATGAATGCTGCGGTGGCTGGTTCATGCTGTCTCTGACTTGCTGCAGCTACAGTCTTGGCAGTACTCGAACTAGCCAAGGAAATGTAGCTCAGTTACTTCTGTGAGCTGCAGTCGACTGGTGAAGCTATCTAGAGCAGACCAAATACTTCCACAGCCACAGGCGAGAATTTTACCCAGAGGATTTGTTATACGTAACTGCAGGACATACGGGGCCTAATTCTCAGAATTTACATGCATGATGTCTTTACATGCTGCCTCTTTTCTCTCTTCTTTTTTTTAAATGAAAACCAAACAAAAATGTAAAACCCCACCACGCTGCTGTAATTTATTCATATATTTTGGTCTTCTTCACTTTATTCTGCTGCTAGCTCCATGTTACTATCTACTGAGTCCTAATGGATGATGCAGGTGTGATTGCATCCAGTCTTCCTCATCAAACAAGAAAAGTTTGTTAGGTTGTACCATTTTTAGTGAGCAGCTGTGAGCCCCTATGCATAACTGGGTTTGAGTAAGACTGGTTGGTGCAGACTGATGACTAGGGCAGGTGCCTTTGGGAAAGCAGGTGGGACTTATCAGGAATTTAAACAGTCTCTCAAGGTCTGTCTCATTGGCTGTCTCTTAATTTGAATTAGGCAGTAAATTCATATTAATGAGAAACAAAGGGTGATCTGGTTTGTTTTTTCTCCACCTTACAGGAACCATGGGGAATACAATGAGTGTCCCAGAGGAAGCTGAAGAAGACAATACGTGCACAGTGAAGAGCTATCAGGTAAGCAAGAGTTGCCCACTCTCATCTCCCCTGGCTATTGCAATATTGTAAATTTCAGATCCCATGATGTACCCAGTCCTAAGAACTGTAATATTTGCTATTTCAGGCTCTATCTGAATCTCCTGACAATATTAAAAGTGGATCCGTTGCATTTGTTCAGACTCCTTCTCCTGCAATGAACGGTGAAGGTACGTACTGGGAAAGGGTGGCATATTTGCACTTCTTTTGCCACCAGACAGGTAGAGAGAGGTTTATATTGGAGCAACAATAAATATTGGTGTATGGTCTCAAATTAAAAGATGAGCCCATGTTTCAGCTCTTACTTGTGAATCAGTACATGTGGTTTTTCAGAAGCTTGAGAGTTTAAAGATAATGAAGAAAAACAGGAAAATATTTCCAAAGTCTTCTGGAAGAAGACTTTGTTTTATTGTTCTAAGAATTTGGTTCTGTACCTGGTCCACAAAAAGTGGTTTTATAGACTGAAGACTTTGGTTAAGGTGAAGTATTACAGGGCAGGAGTGGTTTGGCACTGGTCCCTTTCAGATTGCTGCACAAACCTCAGGGTGTCCTGTGATAAACTACCTCTGCTTGGGCTCTGGTGGAAATAGTGCCTCTAACAAGCCTTGGAGGAATCATTGCTGCAAGGCGCACAAACTGGGGCTCCTGAAAGGGGCATGATGCAGCAACGGCACCAATGCAAGGATCAGTGGCCTGTTAGTGAAGTTTTGTGTTTGTGGGGGACACAATGAAATGGTGTTTTGCGGACTGGCATAAGAGAGTGGTTCATGTGTTGGAAGGGGAAGCAAGTTGTCTTTAAATAATGTCATGGCATCCCTGCTGCTAGCAGGGAGTTACCAGGTGATGTCGTTGTGCTCGGATGCCAGATTGAAATATCCACTGGTGTGGAAACTGATAGTCTGGAGGGGATGTAGGAGACAATAAAACAAAAAAAAGGGGGGGGGGGAAACGGCACACTGGATGCATTGAAAAATGTACATTTATGCAGGCTAGAAACTGAATTTGTTGAGCTTTAAAATATTCCCCAACTACTGTGGAGGAGTAACCTTTGCAAAGCAAATGTTTGTGCTGTTAATTAGGCTGCTTTGCTTTGCCAAACCTGTTCTCTGGTCACAGTGGGCACAACTCTGGGACTATATAGAAACTGGGCTGTTATATGGAGAGCCACTATAATTTTCTGGTTATAATAGAAATCAACAATATGCCCTAGACATAAGGGTCTGTCCCCAAATTGCCTAATAATGATACCTAAAGATAAGCAGCCTAGAACAGTACAAAGCTTTGCAGAAATTTAGTATCTTGGGATGGATAGAGTAGGTAAGACAGTAATGGGCTGGAAAAAAGACTATTGTATTGCTCCAGGTAACACTGATCTGCTTACCAATGAGCTCAATGCATCTCACTTGATTTAGTTTTTGAAGGAGCTTGAGGAAGGCGTTTCAAGGGATACCTGGGATTGGCACAGCAGGAGTTCACCCTGCTGATCTGGCATTTACATGATTCCGAGGGGTGCTTACCAAGTTCCCCAGGTTGTTACGATATTGAGTGTAGGAAAGGGTGATGGAATCATACAAGCCCAAAAGAAACGTATTAGTGTAAATTATTTAAAGCCCAGAGTAATATTGTATTAAGGTGACAAAGGGAAAAAGAAGGGAGTATAAAACTGCTTTGGGGGGGACTTCTTTTGGTGACTGCAATAAAAGACATTCTTTTAAAACATTCTGCGTGCACTTAGCCTTCTGGGCTGGTTACAAAAAAAGAAATAAAATTAAAAATAAAATCCAGGCCCTAGCTACAGATTCTCATCCACAAGATTGTTAAGTCTTATAAACCACCTCTGCATTTTTTTGTGAAACTGTATTTCTGATGCTTTCAGTAGCAATTTTAACAAATGATGAAATGTGAGCACCTCTTTGTTCATCTAAACTTTTCCATCTTGTTCTCTGATTTCTGGTCCTGTGTTCTTGAGTAGGTGCATTGCTTTGACTTCAAAGATACCAAACAATTATTTGTTAAGGGATTTTTTTTTCTGTCCTGTTTGTCATTTAGAAGTAGTGATTTGCTGGGAAAAGTACTGTAAGGTGGTAGGCATTTTACCTGCAGTGATATAACATAATTGCCTCTGGACCTGAGTTTTTGGGGTGAAATGCCACTTCTGATCCTGAACTGGGCCTTAGTGGTACCTTTCATATATAGAAACCTTCCTGGCTCTCATTCTAGAGGTAGTAGACCTTCTTGAAGAGAGCAGAGTATGTCTAATATGCAGAGAGATCTTAGTAAACAAAATTTAACTGTGTCAACTACCTGTGTTTGAGTTCTAGGGAATTTAGGGTATAGCACAGTAATTCATAGAGCTAGATAAGTAACAACTGGGAATGCAGCATGGCTGACAACATTATTACCAAGAAGTCAGTCCTATTTACCAGAATTTATTCAAACTCTGTCACAAGACTGATGTTGTAACCCTGATCACCTCTCTCCTGTTACTGTTATAGGATGTATTAGGTATTACTCAGCTACTGCCAGGGCAACAAGAGCATGGTGGGGGACGATGACGACTTGTTTCTCTTTCTCTGTATGCTAATGAAATAAAATCAATATGCCCTTATTATGTATAAACTGTGGGTGTTAGTGTAGAAATTGAATAGTTGGTGGGTAAATCACTACTCAGCAAGTGCACCCCATTTCAGACCTATTTGGATGGTCTTTATAGCAGGACAGCAACCAGGTTTTCAAGCGATCACACCAGTGGCAGGGCTGGACCTTGGGCTCCCCATGGAAAGGTGCCTGTCAGCAGCTGAGCCCCGCTTCCAATGTTGGCATCTTGACAATCTGGTGTGAACTACATGGCCTGAGTATTAAAAATTTGGCTCCAAGTGGAGATAACTTTTCGAAACTACATATTCATGGGCAATCGCTCTCATCCATGGACATGTCTCTCCCCACCTTTCAGCACCTCATCAATTTCTCCTTCCATCTCTTGTTGGCTTTGGAGCCTTTTTGAGCAGCATTGCTTCAGTTCACATCTCTGCAGATTCAGCCATGTTAATTTTACCAGTGTTTCCCTTGCATAGGTTTTCTTTCTGTTTTCAGAATACAATAAAAACTAACAATTTTCTCCAATCTCTGTAAGGAAAGAAAATATTATTTTGTTATTCATTGTTAAGAGAACCCTCTCAGCCTGTTACATCCCATTGAAAAATCTAAGCTTAGACAAAAATAATCAAAGACTGGAATGGCAATTGCAGATGGTACTGATTACAGTTCAGAATCTCTGTTCCGTGGCTAATTTCCTAATGTTATCTAGCTATAATAAGTCAGTTTAAACAGTTGCCTACTAGAAAATAGAAGCCCGTAGCTGTGTGTTTCTGCTGGTGTAAACCAGCAGAGTTCTGGGAAGTAAATAAAAGCCAGATGATTTACACTGTCTGAAGACCTAGAAAGTAAGCGAGCATTTTACTCTTAATATATAAAATGAAGCATATGGCATTGTTTTACTTAAATGGATTACCTAATTAATGTAATTACTAAATTGGTTTAAGTAGCAAGTTGAAAAATTGGACTGTCCTGTGTTGATATTACTTGTATTTTAACTTTATTAATGTTTAAAAAGCAGTTAAAATCATTAACTATTTAGATAACACTGAAATCTCACTGGTTTGTGTAATGTGATCAAGGTTTTGGTGAAATAAAAGTGCAAGCGCTGTTTGGAGATAGAAGTTATTCCTACAGAAAATGATAGTATTTCTAAAATGAAATAATGCAAGAAATAGTACTGTAATCTACTTTATGGTCATAAAGCGAGCACTTCTGGAGAAGGCAAAAGAGCTGCAAAAAAGGCAAGTGAAGCAAGAGGATTTTATTAATAGTGTTAGATGTATGTTTGTGGTCTTTGTCTTGTTAGTTTGCATTTCTGTGATTGCCAGTGATCTGACCATGTGCTGTGCATTAAATGGTATAGTTGATAAATGAGTCTATGAAATCTATATCTGCTAACATGATGAAAAAAGAATCCAGAGAGTTAACTTAATATGACCAGAGGAAGTAATGTTATTTGGAAGACCCCCGTCACCATCTGCTTCACATCTGGGTGAGCAGATTGGTGGCTGGTTCCTGACATTTGCTGCTTCTGCTCAAACAGGCTGACAGATGTGTGGACTCAGGGATTCTTTCCATGGCTTGCCTTTCCTGCTCCTATTGATTATCGGGGCTGCAGACATTGCACAGAGTGCTAGCATCCACCGTCTCCTCCTGTACTGCCATTTAAATAGTAGTGGTGCCCTTACTGCTACTTCATGCAAGCAAAAGGATAACAAATTTGATCCTGACTCTTCCTACTGTTTTGTGTTGGCCTTTTTGAACTTTAAGTAATATGAGTACTTGGTGGACAACAGGTAAAGGGAAGAAGGCCAGAACTAAGACGCATATCTCCGAGATTTGCACTACATAGAGCAGAAATGTATCAGGAGGACAAAATGGGAAAAATTTTGTTTGTGTTTGGGCGGCAATTACATGCAGATTAAAACATGACTGGCTCATAAAAAGAAAGATTACGCAGGGAATAAAAGTTCAGTTAAGATGCAACTCCTTTGTTCCAGAGCATAAATCTGATTAAGCAAATTCTGCTACTAGCCAGTATCTAACAGAAATGGGTGTATAGCAATAACTCTGTGCCTGTAAGGTGTGAAACACAGTGTGTTTTAGTTGGGTTTTTTTTTGAAGAATGGTCATTACTATTCTTGCTGCTAGCTTCTCTTCCCCTATTTCCATTAATATCAGTAAATCTGTTGGGTAAATAACAATGCTAGTTAACTTAGTGAAACAAAATTATTCTTAGAGCATAAATGTACTGTCAACTTTATTTGCATGGAATAGTTGAGCAAGACTGCAAAAGAATATTAGTATGTTTTTTCTTTTTTAAGAAAGGGGGCAAATGTCTTATTTTGGAATTCTCTAATGCTTCTGAAAACTCAGTCATTTAGTCTTGTCACAACAGTTTTTGGGGGTCTCCCACACAAACATGAGGTATGCTTGGAGATCTGAAAATTTTACATCTACTGTAGCATTATGATACCAACTTGGTTCTGAATAATGGAAGGAAAAATTAATTTATGCAATATCTATAAAAATATATCAGAAATGTAAATTAGAAAATTCACTCTTTGTTGCTAGGTATTTAGATTTTTAAGCCTAGTATTTGCTGCAGTAATTCATTCAGGGCTATTATAATCCATTGTGCTGGCCTACACTGATGGACTTCTTAGTGCCAAATGTTGCCTTGTAGCCCTTAACGGTTCCTTCATGGCCATTAAAATCTATTGTCTCCATGATTATTTAAACTCCAGGGAACAAGATAATGCTGTGGTACTATAATTACATTGCTAAGCAAAGTATCTGTTTAAGTGGCTTGTATTCAAAATAGTCAAAGGTACTAAAACTGTATTTGTAGTTAATGTTGCTCCATTCAGTTTCAAAAAAAAAAAGATTTTTTTTCTATTGTCAAAAGCAACAACTTCAGAAAACATTTTCTCCTAGCATTTATTTTATGGCATGTTCACATGCTAGTGGCCTACAAAAGGAGATGTTTATGCTGAAGACTTTGCCAGTTCAAGTTGTTCCTCATTCAACAGCTAAAAATTACTTGCACTGTGAAAGAGTCAGTAGGATAAATGGCAGGAAGTGAGAAGCTGCCAATGTAAGACATCACAGGACCTTATTTTATATATTCCCTATGTGTAAGTATTAGCCATGAGGGTGCATATCACTGCTGAAGCCAGACTAGCAATCAAAGGCTAAGGAAAAGGAAAGGAGCATGTTTTAAGAAAGCACCTGAAGGATTTATCTTGGGCAAACTGAGCATCAAAAATAGATGCCTGCCTAGTACATGGCTTAGGCTGCTGCCAGGAATAAAAAGAGCAAACTAAGCTTCAGAGAAAATCACGTTATAGTGGAGGAGGGGGGAAGGCAATCTGGAAGTGCTGGACAGAATTGCTTTTGGTCCCACTTGAGGGAGTTTGGCTGCCATCTGTTATGTGCACCAGGCTGAAGTCTGGTTATATTCCCACTGATTAGCAAAAGCAAATCAGCTGACAAAAGCTCAGGCAGCCTTTTCATTTATGTCGGACTGGCGGCTCTGAACTTCCTTTCATGTCAGTCACATCCTCAGGATTCCTGCCTGCATCTGCCGTTCCCTCTGGTCAAGTGCTGTATCTTGGTCCCAAACACATGTGAAATAGGTGCTTTGCTGCAGGCGCTCTATACCAATGTTTTCTGAGCTCTGCTGCCTGCCCATGGGGTTCTGGGTACACTAGATCCCATAATGAACAGAAATAATTCCATACCTATATGGTCAATTTTGCAGCTCGTGTGGTCAACTTAAAGCCTCTGCTCACCTCAAGGCTTTGTCCATTATAATATTTTATTTGCTGGTTCTGTCTACTAAAACCTAAGCACTTTTTAAAATTCAGTGCTAATTCTGCAGACTTGGTCCCATTCTGTGTCAGCAAACATAGTGCTGTTCTTCATCCTCAGCCTATGGAAGTGCTTAATGCTAAAGTCAAGGATACGAAAGGAAAGGGTACAAAGTCTGTCAGCAATTACTTCTGGGCAGGGAAATGGTACTGATATAATATGGCGCTAACCATTACTCTTCTCTGTACAGTTTTTCTTGTAAGACAAAGAAAAAATGTTGGTCTATTCTAGCAAATTTCAGAAAAAATATTCTTATTTTGAGTGTGTTCTTACACACTATAGTGGCTTTGTGCAGTATTGCCTTTTTAACATATCCTGATGAAGGGAAAGGACAAATCTTCTGTAGTGTTGACTGTCTTTTGTTAAATACTTGAAAGGAAAGTGCCTGTGTAGTAGTAGTATGAAATGCAATCTCACAGCAGTGCTGTAAATTGTATATTGATTTTAGTTTCAGAGCAGTTATTAATCTCATTCAGAATGAGCAGCTTTGATCTACTTGCAGACCTGGCCTAGAATTTTTGAGGTTTTGCTTCTATTCCTAATTCTACCTCTGGATTGTGGAATAATTTTGGAAAGAATGGCACTTCTGTGTCTCCTTAAAAACAAAAATATGATGCACTTTTCATCCAAATACTGTCATTTCAAAGCCTTTCTCCTTTACAGTTTGCTGCGAATATGGCAAGAGTCAAACTCTTCTGTTCAGCCCACCACAGTAGTGTCTGCTCTCTGGTGGTGGGATCTGCTTTGCCTGGTGTCTGAGCAGACTTTCCCTGAAACAGTTTGAACTGTTTTGACACAAGAGACACGCTGCAGAGCTCATGCCGGTGATATTTTCCAGGTCTTTCATTCCTTCCATGATAATTAGAGATAAAAGGAGCTTGATAGGTTCATGAGCTACTTTTTGTTTGGTTGATTTTCTTAATGATGAGCTTATATTCCTATTTTTATACTAAAGACAGTTTTCCTGTGTTTCATTTTTTATCTGTTACATAAAACAGAAGTTCAGCATCTATTACAATTATTTTCCAATGGATATTGTTTCTGCTTTCTCTAGCTGGGGAAGGGTTTGCTTTTTGCTTCCTTCCCAAGTTTCCAACTATAATTAGAAGTTAGTGCTTCAGTTCTTTTTCATATAGTACTACGGGAGGCTTAGGAAACTATAACTGATACTTAGTGGCCCTGACTGAATAACTGAATAGGTGGTTGAGTAGCTAGTTATTTGTACCTTTTCGTTGCAAGTCAGTATGTTGAAATAGGTGCTCATGAAATATTGCAGAAGAATGTTACTGGCAAAGGATTCTTGCCAGCGTGAGTTATTTTCTTACACTAATAGTAACAGAGAGAATCCAGGGAAAGAAATTAGAATGCACACAAAGAAGTGAAAATCTATTTACCCGGACAGAACAGGCTGTACTGAGGTGCTCTGGCCCCTCTGCATGCTTGCATATGCCCAAAACACAATAAGAAAGCAAATGTCAGATTAAGAATGTTAGAAGTAGAGAAGTTAGGTGCCAGCTCTCTGGCAGCTGGTAAAATCCTGGCCGCAGTCGTGAATCCTGATGCCACAGCCCTTACTTTGTCAGCTGTTGCCTCCACTGCTGGCAAGTATTTCAGTAAAGTCACTTGAGATTCATGCTGGCACGCCGCCACGCTCTGGCACTTCTCATCTCTCGGGTGTATGAAGCTCCCACCTCCTGCTAGTCAGGACCAACCCTGAACTGTGAAACAGGAGTCCAGCGGGGACTCTCGGTCACCGAGTTAAGGCCGTGGGGAAGGGGATGTCATGGCTGGATGCTGGGGCTCTGTTCTCCTCCTGCATTTGCCCAGGGACGTGACCAGGGTCCCTGGGCACTGCCGCGGGAGGACAGTATCAAATGGATACAGACACATGTTATACAGTGCCTGCCGATGCTTGCATGTCATTATGCAAAATCCTTGGGGGGGCAGGGGGGAAGTTGGGGTAATTTTCTGTGGAAAGCTAAGGGGTAGTTTTGACAGCTGTGATCTAAAAAGGTTCTGCTTTCTTTATCTTAAAAAGGAATTTAAAAAATGAAACTGAACACTGAAGATCTGTGCTGTGGAAGACAAGCATTTTAGGTTTTGTTGGTATCTGGGGTTTTATTTCTGTTAAAGTAAAATGTGGAGGGCATAATATTGACTAGACTATTACAATTATCATTTGAAATAATTTTAATTTTACACTGAAACTGACAATTTTAAAATTCTAATTTAGCAAGTCAGTTTGAGACTGTCAGTTTTTCACAGTTATAATTAAGTAGATCTAAATTCATCCTTGAAATCTGTGGCGATGATTGACAGGGAAATCAGATATATTCCAGTCAAAGTAGGGAAGAGAAGCTCAAGCTGAGGGGGAGCTGTAAGGTTTACCTCTTGACAAGCCTCCTTTTGTTTACTGGGGTTTCACACCACATAATCTGTGAGTCAATCTTCCATCCACAAAACAGATACAAGAAAGATTTTTTTTTCTTGTCTCTTGTTTCTTTTGTCTCCTGTAAAGCAGGAGCCTTCTCCTCCTGTCTGCATACACAGGATTTAGGGATTTTCACCTCAGCTGTATTATCAGAGTGCCATTGTAATATAAAATAATAAAATACATTTTTAAGAGGAAAGATTTTTTCACATCTGAAGTGTGATGGCCATGTATGTACACAAGTGGGAATTATCTGTGAGAATTTTGAGGGGTGGGGGAATGTGATTAAGGGCCATATTGTTTGTGGATAAAAAGAGTCAGAAATGTAAGGATAAGAAGCCTGGCTCAGATGTGATTTATAAGTATTCAAATCAGGCTTAAGCTAACCTACAGACAATAGAGGAGAAGTGCAAGTAGAAACTGTACTACGGAGAGTAGGCAGCAAGGCAAGGAACAGCGCTGGAAAAATGAATGAAATAAGTTATGACTGCAAAGCCCCGTGGGGAGTTTGGCAAGCCAGGAAACAAAATCAGTCCTTGTGGTTTCCATTCTTTTTTCTCATTTAGCTTTGGCAGAGGAAAGTGTAATATTAATATATAATGTTGTCTCAAGTTTTATTGATTTTATTTTTTGCATATTACTTTAATTGGCAAGTAAATATCCTCAGCATGTCCACTGGGCTAAGCAGTCAAAAACCTGGGCCGTTATCTGACTTTGGCAGCTGAGAGGGGGCTGTGGAGAACATAAAATTTGCACTGACTTCAATGAGGAATGACAGGAAAGAAAATCAGATGGGCAGGTCTGATAGATGAGTGGCAGCTTGTATTTAGTACAGGAGGACAACAGGGTCTCTAAACAAGCTGCACTCTGTGTGGTCCTCCCTGAGGCTCCATGTTTCAGAATTAGTTTATTAAAGAGCAAGGTCACCATGATTAATTGTACAACCAGTATAACTTCTTTGCTGTGCTGGATAATTACTGTTTTATGCTTCTGTTTGTAGTGGATGCAAAGGCAAGTGTTGCACGGGATAATGCGGCCGTTTCTTCCCCGGAGACAATGGAGCAGAGCCCCGTTCCCGACGCGGGCGGGCAGAGTCTCGGGAGCGCTGCCAGGAGAGCTCTGCCATCTGCTAAATCCCGCTCTGTCTTCGCGTTTTCATGGTCTGTACCAGGGCGTACTGAAGATCCAGCTACAGATTCATCAGTTGGATCGGTGAAACTTGATGTCAGCTCAGAGGCGCCCGGAGTGAACAAAGCACCAAGTGACAGCGTGGAGGTTCCCGCAGCAGCTGCACGGGAGGAAGGCGCACATAAAAACCTGACCTGGGCCCCGCCGGCAGCCTCGCTTCGTGACATCGATCTCACAGCATCAGTGACACCTGAGGGAGAGGATGCGGCAGCCTCAAAGCCAAAACAAGTAACCTTCTTTGACAGGATCTTCAAACTGGAGAAGGGAAAGGAAAGGAGTAAAACGCAAATTGATACCCAGGAGGAAAAGCAGACTTCAGACCTTCCTGACGGGCACATCACAGTGAAAGAGGCTGCTGGATTACAGAGCACATCAAACAGTGTCCCACAGGGGAAGGCAAGTGCTTGAGTAGGAATATCCATTTCACTCTTAATGAAACCTCTTAGGAATATTAATAGCGCAGGACAACTTAATGTCATGATGGCTGTGTGAATGAATCGGGGCTGCTCTTAAAAGTATTGCAGGTAACCCCTGCAGGGGTGGCTGAATAAAGGTATGGCAGAAGAAGCTGTGGTGGAGTGGCAATAGCTCTGATGTCTGCCTCGTGACTAAATGCTGACATCTGACCTCGAGTTTAAATTCATTTGTATTTCTCTTGAAAGGTTTGGGCACGATAGCTGTGTTCATGCGCCAATTGCTGGGATGATGAACAGCAGCCAGCTACAAATGAAAGCAAAAATACCCGAAAGTAAAATTGTTTCTTTGCTTTAGGAGCTTGGACTTTGACACTGGATCATTTTAAAGTTCTTTAGCGTGTTTTGTGCCATTCTTAAAAGTCACTCTTCTTGAGCAATAGCTGCTTGTTGCATACTCTACATACCAGAATAAGGAATATTATGCAGTAGCAATTTTTGCACTCTTAGCTATTGTGATTTTTTTAGTCAATGAAACGTGGTCCCTTAGAATTGAATTTACAGGATAAGAAGGAGATATAAGAAATTAAGTAACTTATCTGAGAGAGCATGCTAATCAAAGAAAGGAGCTGAAAACAGACATGAGTTTAGATTTTACAATTCCTGCAAAGTTTGATATCGGTAACTATAGTGTAGGATTATTTTTCAGGTAGTTAACTACTGAAAAAGTCCATCCCCTGGATGGGGATAAGTGACATAACTCTTATTAGTTCTGCTGGAGAGATGCCAGTATACACTATTTGGTGATCTAGCTCAAATCCTGTCCAACATCAGGAACGGGAGAGAGAATCTAGCTGCATGGCCCCCTCATCAGAATCTATGTGTAAATGCCATTTTAATAGTAACTGCTTTTATTGGCCTAGTTCAGGCTTACAAATAAGACTGCTGTATGATTGCTAATGCTTTGAGTAGTGTTGAACATAGTTCATAAGATGCTCACTGTTTGCACTGACGACACTGCAGGTTGTCCCCAAAAGTCTCTTCAATTTCTATTCTTCTACCTTGTCTTCTCTCTTATGGCTCCTCAAATCTGAAGATCACATTTCTTGTATAAACTTATAAATTGTAATATTTTTCTGAAGATTCATTTGTAAGACTAAACAGTTGCAGGGTGAATAATTCAGAATGAATAATCTATTTAGTGCATACTAGCACCTCTGCTTGTAGCTTATAAGACCGAAGCCTTTCAACACTAAATTCCTGCAGATATTTTTGATTAATACACACAAAGAATAAGTTTTGCCTGTGGCTTGCAAGAATTGTGACTTTTACAACCAAATGCAAAATTCATAATTTCTTATTTTGCTGTGATTGCAGACTACAGAGTGTGAAAGGTCATGGTTCATGCTGTTGAAGTAGTACAGTGTGAAACTCTCTGTAATGAAATAACAATCTGAAGTAGCTTTAACCAGAAGTCAGAGTTAAACATTTGCTGGTAGCAAATAGTCATGTTGGGAAAGCTCAAGTAAGCGTTTGTAATGGGCAACCGTCAGGGGACAGGACGAGACAATCTAAATCTTCTGCCAGTTCAAACAGATACTAGAAGCACTGTTCATTCAGATCAAGCTTTTTTATACCAATAATGCCTAGCTTTCTTATTAATTTTGAATTCTGTTCCAGTCTTCAGCTTATACCTATCCGCATCCTGAGCCTCACTAACGGGAATAATCTGGAAATCCCAGGCACTCATCAGCTGTAGGTTATGTTTGGTATGTGTGTAAGTGCTTGCAGGATCTAGCCCACACAGCAGCTTTTTGGTGCCTGGGGGCCTGCTTGAGGACAGGTCTCCTGTTTAACAACAGTGCCTGTACATCTTTTACACGTGTCCTTAAAGCTGTACCACTAAAAACCTTTGAGGACTCACAAAATCGGGGTTCAAGTCACTCAGTGTAAATGAGTGGCAGAACTGTATCACAGGGGAGAGTGAAATTTTAACCTCATCCTTGAATTTCTGGACTATAATTTTTGTCTTTTATTCTTCAAATACGAAAAGGAGTGTATGTTGGGGGCAGAGAGAAGTTAAGGACCTTTTCTGGGAAAATTTGTCAACTAAACACTTTCTGATATTTTGCCAACTTTACTTTAACTCCTTTTCTAAAACAAAGGTTTGGCTCTGCCTTGTAGCACAGTTGCCTTACTGTTCATTCAGATCAAGCTTTTTTATACCAATAATGCCTAGCTTTCTTATTAATTTTGAATTCTGTTCCAGTCTTCAGCTTATACCTATCCGCATCCTGAGCCTCACTAACGGGAATAATCTGGAAATCCCAGGCACTCATCAGCTGTAGGTTATGTTTGGTATGTGTGTAAGTGCTTGCAGGATCTAGCCCACACAGCAGCTTTTTGGTGCCTGGGGGCCTGCTTGAGGACAGGTCTCCTGTTTAACAACAGTGCCTGTACATCTTTTACACGTGTCCTTAAAGCTGTACCACTAAAAACCTTTGAGGACTCACAAAATCGGGGTTCAAGTCGCTCAGTGTAAATGAGTGGCAGAACTGTATCACAGGGGAGAGTGAAATTTTAACCTCATCCTTGAATTTCTGGACTATAATTTTTGTCTTTTATTCTTCAAATACGAAAAGGAGTGTATGTTGGGGGCAGAGAGAAGTTAAGGACCTTTTCTGGGAAAAATATGTCAACTAAACACTTCTGATATGTTGCCAAACTTACTTTAACTCCATTTCTAAAACAAAGGCTGTGGCTCTGCCTTGTAGCACAGTTGCCTTCTGTTCCCTCTAAAGTTGCTAGTTCTCATGTAGGATGGGAGAACGACCAAGTCTAATTAAATTGCTGTTACTGTAGTAACTACAAACTGTTACCAAATAATTGTACTAAAAATCCAGATATTGCTGCCAACAGTTTCTTTTTTCTTTTTTTTGGTGGATTATGACTCGTAGTATCTGTAAAAGCTAAAGGCAAAGCAAATTTTCCCTGAATTGAGTGCCAACACAAAACAGCATTGCTGGTAAGTAAGAGAGAGGCTCCACAGTTGTAGCTTAAGAGCTGCACAAACATTCTGTGTTTGGTGAACCACTCTTTATTTTTGTGGTCTACAAAACTACATTCAGAACACAGCATAATTAAAACAAGGACAGAATTCATGAATTCATGAAGCATTTACTATGTAAGCCAAAGAAAAGATAAATTATATGCCTGAAATGTTTCACTGAGCCATGATTCATACAAACAAAAGTGCTGGCAGGAATACATTCTTTTGATATGTTTTTCTAATGACTGAACTGAAACTACAGTATAAGTATTTAAGGTGTTTATTACCCCCAAATTTGGCTCCTCAAAGGAATGAATTGAACATTTACATAGTATCTGTTAACTTCTAATACTGACTTTCTTCCGTTGTTTCTAGAGTTTTCTTTCCTTATTTGCCTCCGGGGCTTTGCACAGCATATTATGCAGTGAGCTGCTACAGAGGTTTTTGTGGTTATTTGACTATGGCTCTGAAAATGTGATGTTGTAGGACTCCACATTATCTCTCCCTGATTTATATGCTGATGGCCTGAGTCTGTGCTCCTTCCTACAGCAGTATTCCCACGAAAGCGCAGGATGGATCACAGCATCTATCAAAGTCCAGATTTGAGCTGTATCTCGGTTGCTAATGGCAGCCTTGGCTTTGGAATCCTGGAGTAGGGTTCCTCGTGCAGTAGTGGGTTATTATGGGGCCCATTTGTGCTCCACAGATCAGACTTTGGGGATTTTTGGATGGCGTCATGCCTCAAGCTCTGCACAGTCTGCAGTAACTTTAATTTCTGCAGGGCGAAGTGTGGCTTTAGCAGGGAGATACCCTGGAACAGCTAGTGCTGCCAGTGGTGGTACCTGTTGCCTCTGCAGTCGTCCCAGTTGGTATCTGCTGCTGATAACAGCTGCTCGCTATGGTGCTTGGCAAAAAGATCCCTTCCTCCTAAACAGAGTGCAGCCCAACACCAACCACCAAGCTTGGGCTTCTGGGTGTAAAAAAAAGTTTGCTATTTTTGTTTGACAGCATCAAGTAGTAAAGATTTTGATAGCATCAAGTACTTCAGTTATGAAGCCAGTTTTGTTTAGCAACGTATTTTCTGCCTCCTGCTTCTTTGGTCTCTTGCCTCACACCTTTGTTGTCCCTTTAATATCTGAAATAGAGCCGGCATTTTTCATGTGACTGGAGCTCTTTAGATGGTGTCCCTGGAAGCAGGGCTGCCAAAGCTGGCGTGGCCACGCGTGTTCTGCATGGGACATATTGTTCTTGGAGCCACTCTGGCCCGTAACTGGCAGCTGGACAAAGTGGTGTGTTAGACCCTTGTAAGAAACTTCTAAATAGCCTGTTGAAGCACTCTGAACTACTGTGCTGTGTTTCTTCCTGGGTAAACTTGGAAAACGGTGGGTGGAGAATTACAGAAGTCTGTTCTTGTAAGTAAAACCTTGCATATTTTAACTCTTTAAATGCTGCATGGAGATTGGCCACTCCATGCTCATCTTTCCTGATGCCAAATTAGCCCTCTGAAGTTTTAAAACATTTATGCATCTTTAGTCTACTCCTTCCTTTAGTGAGCTACAGAAATGTATGTCCTCTGCAAATCCTATACAAATATTGTGGAGTTTTTTTTAATCGCCTAGTACAGGGAAAAGTTCTCAGAGTATAATTTTATTTTAACTTTTCCTGGTAAAAATGGCACTGAACAACTATGTTTAACTGCCAGGTTAGGAAAAAACCCTTGGTGTCACTTAGACCTCCAGGCAGTCTTTGAGAGCAGCGATTCAAAGATGCTGTTTACTGGAGACACCTGGACAGGCTCATCAGTTTTATTTCTTGTCCTGATTTTTTTTCTCTGGAGTAATCCGGGCATCTAGTATCCTAATAACTGCTTCTCTAGTCACTGTTTCCTAAGTGACCAGATGTGTACTGCTGTCTAAATAGTTGGGGATGCTAACTTCTGCTGAACAATTATGGCATTGCTATGATTGTCTGATCAATGATGTCTCAAATCCCCTACCAAAGTCAAGGCCGCCCTCATGCTAGGCACAATTTACTTTAATAATAATTAACAAATCCAGCCCTGCACTTACAATGTAGACAGATAGACAAAAGGGAGGAGGATTATTGGTAACAGACTTGGCCATTACTAGCCAGATATAGTACTCTTAAATATTAAAAAAGGAAATGCTGAATGGGACATGAGGACTTGTCTCAAGTTGCTCTCTCCTCCACAACATTTGTGTTGGCTTTACCTGTGCAGGCTCAAGGCAAAAGTGGCCAGAATGGCAGGCAAATACAGCGTAAAAGGGTGCCAAACTCTCCAAAACTGGTCCAAGAAGAGTTTTTTAAAAACCAGACCCTTGTTTAGGTGCCTAAACAGAAACTGAGTAACTTAATATTACATACTTGTGAGTGCTTGAGCACTGGAAAACTATTTTTGGGCTCTGGGAACTGTAATTCCAGGAAGAGAGGGGGCAGCTCCATCTGGCTCAGAAGAATTACTTTGGGGGGTTGCTTTTTTCCTTCTTTTAATCTGTACCATGTTTGTGTTTGCTAGATAAAAATTATTTCTGGAATTGCAGAATACAAAGTATCGGAAGCGATTTTTGTATGGTACAATCAGACACTGAGCCGTCAAAGGCCAAAATCTCAGCGTTTGTTCCTATTCACAAGTTCAGCCTTGAAAAGAGAAAAGCGGTGTTGTTTGGGATGCTGTGTGCAACTTTACTTGTGTTTATTATACTTGGTAGCTGAAAACAATGTTCCTCCAACCAACGGCAAATGCTGAATATATTAGAAAAGAGGGGAAAGAGATGTATAAAAGCTTGATTGTTCTGAATACGTAGGCTGAAGAAGTATGGTTGGAATTAGGGTTGTGACTCTCAGAGCAGCATAATGCAAGTCACAAATGTTACTTTTGCATTCCACTGGAAATTAACCAAGCTAGGACTGAGGAAACTCTGCCCCCTTTTTTTAGGAGATAGATGACCGCAACCAAAAAGACCTACAGCAGGACTCAGCAGGTGTCAACGGTCTCACTGCTGAGCAACCTGAAAAGGCAGAGGTAAAACAAGACAACCCCCAACCAGCTGCTGCAATAGATAACTCCGTCATGAGTTTCCTTAAAACACTGGTAAGCTATTGCCTTTCCTTTTCATCTCTATGCTTTAAATTGCTTATAAAAATCCCATGTGGACATGTTGAGCTAAATGTAACATGTTTGCTGTCACGGGCACTGAGGAGTAATGAAGCCAAACAGATGCTTTGGAGAATGACTTGAGAGCGAGAGAGATGTGTAGGTACAGTCTGGTTATGATCAGATGATGATGACCGACTCTGGAAACTTCCTTTTCTGCATAGATACTGGTAGACCTGGAGGTACTTAGCTGTCTTAAGGATTTTCTGCATGATGAAACTTCATTTTGTAATACCTCTAAAAGTTCATTTTTATGGATTAATTGGATGTATAAGTTTGAATAATATATCTTTGGTCTGGATATTTTTCATTTTAGCCATTGACTTTAAGTTGTTCTCAAGAAACATTGATATTCTAAATTTTCCCACATGGGGGGGAAGCAATATTTGTACTTTCACCTTTGTGCTAGAAGAAGCTGCTAGTTTCAAACATATGATCTTTCAGATCTTTTGAAAGACTGAGTTGGGTGTGACTGTTTGTTTTTCTCAAATACATTTAAGGTCTCCCCAAGCAAAGCTGAAGCCAAAAGTGATTCTGAAGACAAGGTAGGCAGATTCCTCATTCTGTCACTGGTCACTAGATGTTTTTGACACAGGTATTTCCTCTTCATTGTGTTGCTTTTTCCCCAATTTTCCCCATTTGAAGTAATTTAAAATATTTTTCCCCCGAATAAATTTGAAAGGAAGATAAGCATAAACAGTGCAATTCTTCATATTGTATGTTATAATCAAGATCTGAACTGTAGCATTTTCTGCAAGGTTGATGATGACCTGGTAGTGCTTTTTGTTGTTACTCTGACTTGTCCTTGATCTAAAACTACAGGTCCCTGCAGTGAAATCCTCCTGAGTCCACAGAAAACTCCATTTGCTCATAGAGCTGTGCAAAGCTTCAGGTTTTTCATTTCCAGTTGTGTATACGCATGTCTCCTTTATCCCTCTTCACACCTGCTGGAGCTGCCACATCCTGGTAGGGAGGACATGTGAGGTCCCCCTGCCTGTGGCAGCTCTCGGGCTCGGTGGGCAGGAGCCTGCTCCCACCCTCCTGCCCTGCAGTGCATCCACAGCTGCTGCTGGGTCCCCCCTTGGGGTGCAGGAGGATGGGCAAGGATCAGCTTCCCACTGAAATCAATAGAAAGCAGAAGGAGATCCCAACATTTCCTCTTTGGGACTCTTCTGGCTGAAGCACCCCTGTATGGACTGTGCTACAGTCAGGGCTGATGGGCTGTTCCTATGCAGCGGCTGAAACCTCAGGAGGATGATGGAACTGCTCTGAGCAGGACTGGGACTTGCAGGGAGAGCTGTCCTTCCCTGACTGCTCAGGATTTTTCCCTTTACTTGCAGAGATGAGGATCAGGGTTTTTTTTTAAGCGGGGTGAATTGAACGCTCAAGCTGTTCTAGTACAATGCATCAGCCTGACTGCAAGTGTGTGATGTTCCCACCGGGAACCGAAATCCATATTGGCTGGACAGGTACAGAACCAGTCTGAGAAATGCTGCTCCGTGTAACAGGCAGATGTGGCTTCTTGCTTTCCTCTCTACAAACCATTCGTTCTTGGATTCCACTGGCAAGAGGAAACTTGTTTTTAGTGTCCATGGTCCTTTATATGTGAATTCAGGAAAGCTTCACTATCATAGCTTTCATTTGCTATTAGACATAATGAAAATATCAGATTGATCCAATGTATTTAACAAACTTGTAAAAAAAAAAAGTGGAAAAACCTAAACTGTAAAAATTAAGTTGAAAACATAATCTTCTAAAATGGAAAAATGCAGGTGTTTAAAGACTTCTCCTTTCCTCTTTTTTCCTGTTCTGTTAGTGTCAAAACTTAGAATAGTTTCAAAAGAAACAGAAGTGAGACAACTTGTATTAAGCTGCCTCCTATCTTCTAGTGTTTCAGAGGCTTACAGGCATATCACTGACTGCATAACTGGGAACTTCCAGATTAAATGTCATTACGCATTGTTATTACTATAATAACTAAAGCTTTTCTTGCAATACCTGTGATAAAATTAAACACATAAAGAGTGAAACCCTAAAAAAGGAAATGATCTTTCCATGCAACTATCAGGTAGCCAAAATCACAGGCATCAACACTTGTTTTCTATCCTATTGTCCTTTTTGTCCCATTCAATTTTTTATATAGCCTGGTACTAAAATGGTGAAGTCAGTCTTTACAGAAAACTTGGTGAGTACATGGGGGATACACATCACTCCCCACTTATAGCTCAATAATTCTGGAAAACATCAACCCCAGGGCTGAGGTCTCCCAAGATACCCAGAAAAGGTAGTTATCAAATTGCACTGTTTCAGTAAGACTTGCAGCTCTTTCAACAATTTCTGAAAAATCCAGTTGTTCAGTCCCGTTTGCACACCTGACTTTATCAAGCGCACCCATGTGCTTCTATAACAGGTGCCTGTTGCTGTAGGCGTACTGTCATTTGGAAATAAATATGCTGTTTGGGTTTGGTTTGCTATCACACCTGTAAGGGTAAACAAATCCAGATGACTAGTAGGATATGCAAACTCACTATATAGAGGTTAAGTGGGAGTTGTTTTTTACAAAGAATTCCTTTATCTTCACTATCTTCCTGATACAAAGAATGACATTTTCACTATATCAAAGGAAAAATATGCTTAAAAGGTTAATTTATCTACTGTCATATGGAAAAGCTGCAGATTTTTCAGCTAATGTGTATAACGAAATAATGGTCACTTTTCCCCTGAGAAATAACTTCTGTCTTAACAGTATAGATGTGTTCTTAAGTGAGGCTTTCCCCTTTGTGCTGTCTGAGCCTCTCCTGAATGCCATGGGGCTTTTGCACGGTTTGGCTGGTGCAGGGACCACTGTGCCCTCGAGTCCTGGTCGCGCTTTCATTTTGGCTGTTCGTGCACCCCCTTTGCAGGGAGGAGCTGGGTTTTATCACACAAGGGCTGATACGTTCCCAGTGTCTCTCAGCAGTGCTCTCCCATGGCTAAGAGGACAGACAAGCTTTCTCATAAATCTGAGAAACAGCCACAGCCCGCTTCAGCTTTGCAAGGCATGGCAGCATACTCCCTCC